CTTGTTTTAAGGAACATTTGCTTTTTTTGAACTCCCTTCTATCTTAATTAGGGAATTTCTTACAGATTTTCAAAGTTTGAAGATCATTTTAGATTTTGCTAAATTTTTTTAGCAAAATTTACAGTTGTGCTCAACAATGAATCAGCAATGTTCAAGTGAACATTGCAGGTACATTGTCTCAACTAAGACTTGAATTTCAAGGACATTTCAGTTTAAATTGGCAAAATTGATATTGTCTCCAATTATATTTTAATGTTTATATATGTGTACATTGCTAATGCATTGGTACTGTGTTTTTCAATGATGCTCTGAATGGGGGTGCATTTTATTGCCAACAAAACGTTGGGAGTACCATTCCAAAATGCACCAGCCCTGTGTTCTGGAATGGTGCTCTCAACAAGGGGAGCATTTTTATTGCTCAGGAAACATTGGGAGTACCGTTCAAAAATGATTCTCAGCATGGCTTCTTCTCCAGCCATGTTCTGAATGGACTGCCAACAAGTCTTGGAATGCTTCCCTGAGAATGCCACAGCAGGTTGTTGGGCTCTGCTCCCAACCATTCTGAGAATGGGTTCCAGAACCCGTTGGCAGTCCATTTCCTTAACGGTTCACAGCCCAACGCCCCCATTATTTGCTGGGTGGATGGCAGAGGGCTCTTTCCCATTGCTGGCCAAAATTGGATTATTTTTGTATGCTGGGGCATTTTCAGTCATCTGAAGGTCAGAAAAGCTCTTCCAGGTGGGCTGAGGCAAAGTCTGTTGCTTAAAAAAACATTTTTTTAAAATTTCCTGCAAAATTTTTCTATGCAAAAAGAAAAAAAACATTGGGATTTTTCCTGACTTTGTCCTCAGCTCCCTGTTGTCATTTTTTTCTTTTCTTCCCTGAGGTGAAACAAAATTTTGCAAAAATAGTCTGACTTTGCTGCTCAAGGGTTAACAGTATTGTATTTTTATCCTCTATTGTGAGCGCGCCCCTTATGTCTAAGAAAATCACATAAGTC